TGGAGAATCCAAAATGGCATCACTCATGTCTGGAGCCTCGGCTGGCAGTTGGCCGAGATGGCTGGGCCTTTCTCTTCTCTTGCTGTTGACTGGGCCCACTCATGTATCTATTTGGTCTTCCACATGACCCCTGTCTCTCCTTATGGATAGGCTGGACTTCTTTATAGGTGGTTGAATTCCCTCCGTACAAAAGTAGAAGGTATAAGGCCTGAGCCCGGAAGTCCCAGAGCCTCATTTCCACCTCATTGACAAGGCCTACCCAGATTCGAATGGTGGGGAGAAAAATTCCCACCTCTTGGGGGCGTACAGAGATGAGAGAGATGTTTGGCAGGCATCATTCCACTTTTATTTACCAGAAATGGTAACCCCAACTCGGACAGTATAATTGTGAAAGTGTCATGGTAAAAGTCCTGCCTCTCCACTAGGCCTCCACTGACACCACCCAGTAGGAGAAGGGGACTTCACTGCTGCCAGCTGGGGTCAGAAGTCCACGCTCCCCGTGTGGGCTCTTCTCACTCTGTGGTGTGGGGAGGTGCCTCATCACTGGACCCCAGATCCCTCCTGGGCCTTCTCTGATAATCCCAGCATGTGGGTTAAGGTGCCTTGTTATAACTGTGAAAGGTTGGAAATCTAGGCTCCCTCCTTGGCCTATGCTGGTGTTGGGGATTGGGTCGGGGGGAGCTATTTTTTTTTTTTTTGCCTGTGACATTTGGAACACAGCAGTTGTCTAAAAGTTTTCTGTCTTGGGGCGCCTGGGTGGCTCAGTTGGTTAGGCATCCGACTTCAGCTTGGGTCATGATCTCACAGTTCATGGGTTCAAGCCCCACATCAGGCTCTGTGTTGACAGCTCAGAGCCCGGAGCCTGTTTGGATTCTGTGTCTCCCTCTCTCTCTCTCTGCCCTTCCCCCACTCGCGCTCTGCCTCTCTCTCTCAAAAATAGATAAACATTAAAAAAAAATTTTTTTTAATAAAAACAATAAAAGATTTCTGTCTTGCTTGACTGCTCATCTTCTGGTCTTTTGGCTAGAGAGCACGGGCTTTTCTTAGAGCTTTTTTGTCTATACCCATTATTATTCCCAGGTTGCCCGTTTCTTCACTTCGAGTCTGAGCGACGTGAGGTGAGGAGAAAACCCAGGGAACCCACTGCCGTGTCGTTCCTTGTGCCCCCAGCTCCCCAGCCTGTCTGTCTTCTCCTCTCCACCTTTCAGAGTTGTCTCATGTTTGCTTTGTAGACAACATCCAGGGTTTCCTGTTGTACACAGCAGGAAGCATAGGAAAAAGTGAGTCCGCTCCATCTTGCTGGAAGCAGAAGTTCTGTCATTTGCTTTTTAAACTGGAAGGAATAACAGAATTTATTGTATGTAAATGGCATTGGAATATTTAAGACATATGTTTGTTATATTCTTAAGTGCAGTTTATTAGACTTACAAGCATTTCTTAGTTCCTTGGTAAGATTTTATGTAAAAGAAACTAAATTTGTGAATCTGTTTTTTTATAGCAAATATAATTTTTTTAAGTTTGTTTATTTTGAGAGAGAGAGAGAGAGAATGAGCACAGCAGGGGCAGAAAGAGAAGAGGACAGAGGATCTGAAGCAGGCTCTGTGCCGACAGCAGAGAGCCCAACACGGGGCTCAGACTCACGAACCAGGAGATCATGACTCAAGCCAAAGTCGGATATTTAACCAACTGAGCCACCCAGGCGTCCCTAGCAAATATAATTAAAAAAAAAAAAAATTAAATGTAAAACAGATAGGCGCTTTTTTTTTTTTTTTTTTTTTTTTTTTTTTGGTCTGCAAAAGCCATCCTTCGAAGAAATGAACACTCAGGTTTACTAGGCGTTGGACTCATTATAAACACGTACCCGAACTGCATCCCATAAAGCATGGACTCCGGCTCTGTGGGGCAAACAATAGAAACCAACTCAGCAAAAAAGACTGTGGGGCTGCTCCCAGAATGGAAGGAAGGGCTAGAGAAGGAGGTCTGGGGAAGTCCCAGGCACCATGATGGCCCCTGGGGCCTGATTTGCCCAGGCCTGGCCTTGGGCAGCAGTGAGCCCAGCCTTCTTTCAGGCCTCCATGCTTCTCTGTTCAAGATTTATACCCCAGAGAGAGGTTCTGACCTGCCTGGTTGGCTCAAGCTTGAGTCTAGGCCCATCTTTGTCCAGGGAGGACAGAGCACTGGGAATAACAGTCCCAATGAGACTTTGCAAGGGGGAGAGGGGGCAAGAGGGAGCCTTCCACAGCAAAATCAGGGTGCTGTTACCAGACCAAAAGGAACGGGATTAAAATGGCAGGTGGGTGAGCATCACAGATGTCTGCAGACGACGAGTTCTAGAGCCAAGTAGGTTTGGGACACCTGGGATGGCCGAGGAGGAACTGCCCGTGAGGCCCTCCGACCTGCCAGTGCACTGTGGCCTCCAAGCAGTGCACCCAGGATCCAGTGTTTCCCAAACTTACTTAACTATGTGGTGCTTTTTGCCTCAGAATCCCATTGACGTCTCTAGGAACTCAGTTAGGGAAACCCTGGCCTGGTTGATCTCCAGTAACCTTTTTAGCTCTGAGATCTTGTGATCCCACAGGAAGGACATGGTTTCTGCTTAAGTCTGTTTAAGAAGAGACAGACAGCAGGGGCACATGGGTGGCTCAGTCTGCTGAGCGTCCGACTTTGGCTCAGGTCATGATCTTGCAGTCCATGAGTTGTAGCCCCACGTCGGGCTCTGTGCTGACAGCTCAGAGCCTGGAGCCTACTTTGGATTCTGTCTCCCTCTCTCTCTCTGCCCTTCCCCCGCTCATGCTCTGTCTCTCTCTCTCTGTCTGTCAAAAATAAATAAATATTAAAAAAAAAAAAAAAAGAGAGAGAGAGACAGCAAAAACACATCAACAGAGATGGAGAAGGACCAAGGAAGTGCAGCTCAAGCAGTGAGAGCCTTCTGGGGAAGAAGTGGAAGCCAGCTCCCTTGGGTCCATGAGATGCCCTCAATGACCTTCTATTAAGGAGTTGTTTTCTAAAGTGAAATGGACGAAAGTCAGGTTCCTGTCTGGCCTGCTCATTCACTTGGTTTCTGTTGGCAGTCTGGCTTAGGTGACCAGAGGCTTAGGTGGGGGCTGGAAGGATCCTTAGAGGTTATCTGGGCTGGCGTTCACATTTTCCAGACGGGGACACACAAGCCTGATGAGGGGAAGGGACTCCCCCAAGGCCATGCAGTGACGAGGCAGCAGAGCTATAACCAGAACCCAGGTCTCCTGGCTCCCAGCTCAGCATCTTGCCTTTATTTTGCAATGCTGCACCTTGCTGGGGACAAAGTCAAGGACAGGCCATGGTGGTTTCTGTCAGTGAAAACACCCCCTCCCTCCTCCCATCCTCTTCCACAACCACCTTCTTAGCTGTCTTAGGCCCTCAGGATTCCAGGAAAGAGGGGAGGAGAGAGGGACAGAGGCTTGACTTCCTGCCTTACCAAAACTTGCTAATTAGATCTTCCAGGTGAATTGCAAGACCGTGTTTGTCTCGTTCACCACTGATTTCCTAGGGCCCACCCAAGCCTTAAGGACCCGGCATATTTCACAGGGAGGTGGGCTTGGTGGGAGGAACCTCTTGAGCTTAGGGGGAGTTGGAAAAGGCCCATCCTGGGGAGGGAGGATGCATATTTGGCTAAGATAGAACATTTCTTGGTGTTTAGTGGTGAAATAACCCCGGAGGGTGTGTTGGCAACATAGTATAGTGTGGTTTAAATGCTGAGGCAAGTACCCTTTGACCCAGCAGTCCCCCTTCTAAGAATTTATCCCAAGGAGGTAATCCTCATAAATGCACAAAAATGCATGTACTGGGATATTCAGTTAGAGCAGTGTTTTCAAAAAAGGAAACAGCCTCAATACCCAATAATGGAGAAGCAATGATAAAAAATACGGTACATCGAAATGACGAGTTATTTGATATTTATTAAAAATGATGAATTAAATATGCTTGACAGGGGAATGTGTTTATAATATCTTAAGTAAAAATGGGTTATAAAAAGATTATAGTCTTATTTTTATCAAATGAACTAACATTGTCATTCATATCTGAATTATGGACGGAAAAAAGTTTACAAGAACAAAATGTTTGCAGGAGTTGTCTCTGGGTTTTGGAATTACAGGTGGCTTTTCTATTATGTCGTAATTGTTACTGTTCCTGTCATTTATTTGTATTTCCTAACTGTTCTACAATGAATATATATTTGGTAGTTATCTTTTAAGGTTAAAAGAAAATGCCATGCCAAGAAATCTGAACCTTATTCTTAAGGTGATAGAAATTAAATGTTTATAAATGAAATGATTAAAAATTAAGCACATTAGCCAGTTTAAAGAGTCTCACTGAGGGGCGCCTGGGTGGCTCAGTCGGTTAAGTGTTCGACTTCGACTTCGGCTCAGGCCTGATCTCATGGTTCGTGGGTTCGAGCCCCGCGTCGGGCTCTGTGCTGACAGCTCAGAGCCTGGACCCCACCTCAGATTCTGTGTCTCCCTCTCTCTCTGAACCTCCCCCACTCACACTCTTTGTGTGTCTCTCTGTCAAAAATAAATATTAAAAACTTAAAAAAAAAACAGTCTCATTGAGACCCCTCTGGCAACATGACAAATCCACTGATAAAATGGCAAATTGTATTCCTGCCTTTGTTTCGCTTGTAAATTCTGATTTCTGATGTTGCTTTCCTGCACAAGACTGCGGGGAGTCGACCCATTAAGGGAATAGCAGAGCAGATTTAGGCCTTACCAGGTCTTTATGACCGGTGGACAAAGGACGTTGCTTTCTGGAAGTATCCGGCTCAGGGCAGTGTTTTGTAAACCAGCAAAGCAGCCGCGTTGACCATGAGTAGTAAAACTCCAATAGAAGGTCAGGGGTGTGGCTTTGTGGCAGATGTTTTCCTGGTTTGGTTTGGGGACAGCAAACAGTGGGACCTCAGATGTGCCCTGGGGCCCTTTAGCTTCGACCCAGCTCACATCTGCTCCTGTGAATTTTCCTTACAGGAAAACCTGATCGGCGCCCTTTTGGCCATTTTCGGGCACCTTGTGGTCAGCATCGCGCTTAACCTGCAGGTAAGTGTCAGTCACCAGCACCGTCTACAGTGGAGACACAGCTCTGATCAGCCGGGGCGTCTGGTGTGGACCCTGCTGCCTCCTCACCGTGGGACGCTGTCTACTCCATTCCTGGGCTGGGCCTACAATATCTTGTGGGTTGTTCCAGAATCTTCTTCGCCCCCATGTCATCCCCCCCATCACCCCTCCGCTCTGATGACAGCACTCACCATTACTTAGAATCCCTGGGGGCCCTGGAGCAGCTGCTCTGGAAGCCGGCCCCCTTGGCCCATCCAAGCTGGCAAGCAGCTACCTGCTCCCAAGCCCTGCCTCGGAGGTTGCTTTGGGGACACCCATGGACAGGATACGTCCCACAGCACACGGGCTGGCTCCGCTCTGCCAGTGCTTACTCAGCTTCTAGCTGCGGTGAACCCGGAGCAGGGACATGAACACACATGGGCACCGGGTACATCTCGGCTCCCACGCACACGTGTGTGCGGGAGTGTTTCTGTGTGTTTTTGGTCTCGTAGCCACTTGTTTGGTTCAGGCTCTTCTTTCTACAGACCGGCATCCCTGCCTCCACATCTGCTTCTCTGGAGCCCGCCTCACGGTCCCCCCTAAGGAGCCCCGTGGTCCTCTAAGTCTGCCTGGCTCTCTTCAGTCACCACCCCACTTTCTCTGCCCCGAGCCTGCACTTCCAGAACAAAGGCTGTTGGCCATACTTGGGCCAAGTATCCAACCAAGGGAAGGCAGCGTCCACGGATACCCCCGGGGCTGCCCCAGCGCGTCTACAGAAGGGAGTGAGGGCCGAGCAGGCACCCCGAGGTGCCCATGAGGAGTCCTGGGCATTGCAGTTAGAGGGAGACACTCAGGCCAAGGCCGGGCTAACATGGGGGTCCTAGACCACGGCTCCCACTCCAGACTGTGACGTGCATTAGAAATGCACCTTTCCTTGGGGCACCTGGGTGGCTCGGTCGGTTGGGCGTCCGACTTCAGCTCAGGTCATGATCTCGCAGTCTGTGAGTTCGAGCCCCGCGTCGGGCTCTGTGCTGACAGCTCAGAGCTGGAGCCTGCTTCCGATTCTGTGTCTCCCTCTCTCTCTGCTCCTCCCCTGTTCATGCTCTGTCTCTCTCTCTGTCTCAAAAATGAATAAATGTTAAAAAAAAAAAAATTAAAAAAAAAAAAAAAAAAAAAGAAATGCACCTTTCCAGGCCTCCCCCACACCTCCCCTGAGGTCGAGATGTTTATATTTTCAGAACTTCCCCGGGAGTTTTTGAGGCTTTCCAGCCAGTTTGAGAACTTCTGTCTTAGAGTGACAGTCGGGTATTGAGAGCCCTACTGCTTGCCTCCCCTCTGAACAAGGACTCCAGAACCTGACAAACCTTCCTAAATGAAAAGGTGGGGGCGGGGGGAGGGGGTAGACTTAGGATACATACATCGCAGCATCTCTCCCCAAACATCTGGGCAAGTCACATTCTTTCTCGGATTTCTAGAAGTACTGCCACATCCGCCTGGCAGGCTCCAAGGATCCCCGGGCCTACTTCAAGACCAAAACATGGTGGCTGGGCCTGTTCCTGATGCTGCTGGGCGAGCTGGGTGTGTTCGCCTCCTATGCCTTCGCTCCGCTGTCACTGATCGTGCCCCTCAGCGCCGTCTCCGTGATTGGTAAGCCCGGGCTCCCTGCACCACTCCCCTGGGACCCACCTGCCTGCGCCTGCACCGTCCTAGTGAAACAAAACACCGTTTTGCTTGGCCACATAGCTAACACTTACAAAGGGCTTCATACACACCGGCCCTGCATTTAGCACTTTACAGATACTAATCCTTCTAATCCTCCTTTTTGAGGTACTGTCATTATCCCCATTTTACAGAAACGGGGGCACTGAGCGGTGAAGTTCCTTCCTCCAAATCACAACAGCTAGTGAGTGGCGGGCCTGGGGTATAGATAGATGGGGGGCTGTCTGGCTCCCTAATCTGCTTAAAAATGATTCAGAAAGTGTATCAGAATTGCCATTTATTTCCACTGAAGAAGGAAGGTAGAAACTTGGACCCTTTCATCAAGATAATCCAAGCTTTCATAGGGTTCAGGTGTCTCACACCTCTAAAAACTGCACATTCAACTTATTCTCTGATCTTTTTACATCAACTGATACCATCTTTAAAACATTGTTCACTTTCTCGGGGCGCCTGGGTGGCTCAGTCGGTTAAGCGTCCGACTCTTGATCTCGGCTCAGGTCATGATCTCCTGATGGTTCTCCTCCATGATCTCCTCATGGTTCATGAGTTTGAGGCCTGCGTCGGGCTCTGCTCTGACAACGTGGAGCCTGCTTGGGATTCTCTCTCTCTCCCTCTCTCTCCCTCCCTCCCCCACTCACTCACTGTCTCCCTCAAAATAAATAAACAAAAAAATATATTGTTCATTTTCTCACATGCCATTTTTCTGTCATTTTTGTAATCACTGAGCCAGGGTTTCAGAACATTTGAGCCAATGAAAAGATAAAAGAAAAAGACACTCAAGCCAAGCCCACGAGACACTTGAGGTGTTCACACACGCTCTGTTCCTTTCTCACACAGTATTGTTCTAAAATATAATCTGGGGGCGGCTGGGTGGCTCAGTCAGTTAAGCATCTGACTCTTGATTTCGGCTCAGGTCATGATCTCATGGTTGGTGAGATTGAGCCCTGGTAGTGCTCTGAATTGACATCATGGAGCCTGTGTAGGATTCTCTCTCTCCCTCCCTCCCTCCCTCCCTCTCTCCCTCCCTCCCTTTCCCTCTTTCTCTCTCTCTCTCTCAAAATAAATAAATAAGCATTTAAAAAATAAAATATAACCTGAATGCCTTTAGTTGTGGCAGAGGTCACCCCAGTCCTTGCCTTGCCTTGTCGTCTAAGCTGGCCCACTTTCTATGTTTATTTTATTACACAGCCCCTACGGGTATTGACGTTTGTCTTCTGCCCATTGCTGACCTGAAAAGGACTTCAGAACCTTTACTCAGAATGAGACATAGGTGACCAAGTGCTTTAAATATTTGCCTTTGAATTTTAATAATTTAGTAATTCAATAATCAAATTCTTAACAATAAGAATCTGAATTGTAATGATGGCTTCTCAGGTATCAGCCACTAGAAAGTAAGGGGCTCTCAGAGCTTCTTAAGTCACCCAGTAAAAAATAATGTTAAAAATAAATAAACATTAAAATAATAACTACAGTTTCTTGGGCACCTATTACTTAACAGTCACTATTCCAGGCACTTTAATAGTAATAATAGCTCAGTTATTGAGCACTTACTGTGTAACAAATTATCTACATGTATTATCTCATTTAATTGCCCTTATAACTCAGAGAAGTAGGTATTTTCATTGGTATGCTGATGAAGCAACATTCAGAGAGAGAAAATGAGAGAAGGAAAAGGAGGATGCGGAAGTGGGGGGAAGGAATTCCAATTTATATGGAGCAAACACCCCCACCATGGCTGATTTCACAGCCCACCGTGCCTGAAACCACAGTGGCTTCCTGCATATTTAACGAGCAGCGAGCTGGTGTGAGCTGAATCCAGACTGAGACTCCCATGTAGTGACTTACCCACCGGTACACAGCCAGAAGAGGCAGCGCTGAGAATGGCCACCCAGGTCTGTTCACGGTGAATGCCAGCCCCACCCTTCCGAGCAGTAACCTGCAAGTTGGAGAGGGAGAGAGAAGAACCAGGGCAAAGTGTCAGAGGTAGTCATGGCAGTGGAAGGAGCAGGAGCCCTGGCCTCCGACAGCCCTTCCCAGCTGCACAGTCCTGAGTGGGTCCTTCACCTCTCGTAGCCTCAGTGTCCCGTTTTTCAGATGGGAATAATAGCACCCACCTCGGAGGGTAGATGTGCCAGAAACAACTTGTGCAAATCACCTGTCACACTGCAGGTACTCAACACCAGCGCTCCTGGGCCTGTGGGAAATCCTCAGGAAGGCTCAGAGGGGAGCCTCCCTTTCCGAGATGGAATAACAGAGGAACCAGAAGGACTGAGTTTTGGGGAGGGGAGCATGAGGGAGAGGTACCAAGGAGTACCAAGTTCCAAGGCAAACGAGTCAACCCCAGGCCCTGGGCAAAGGGACTCCGTTGGGCTGATGGCAACCTCAATTTTCTTTTCCCTGTGCTTTTACTTATTTTTTTTTTTTTTTATAGCTAGCGCCATCATAGGAATCATATTCATCAAAGAAAAATGGAAACCTAAAGACTTCCTGAGTAAGTTCACTGATTTGAGTCCCCGTTCTTAATGTTACGCTTGTGCCGTTTGTTCATTATAAAGCCAGCTCACCCCAATTTAGAGATCATCTGTCTCCTGCTCCCTTCTCTGCTTCTATATTCTACCCTCATCAGGCTCCTGAGAGCTGGGTTTTTTAATCAGTGGTTCCCAAATCTGGCTGCACCACAAAATCATCTGCGAGACTTTTTAAAAAGGGCTTTCATTCATTCCACTCAATCTATATTTACTGAGCATCTATTGTTGGGATTTTAGGAGGCCTGATAAAAGGCACCCTCTTTCCCTAAATGAGTTCTAAAGCAATGGGAAACAAACATGGAGGTCAAAGACAAGAGGTCACAAGTTATGCTTTATTGCTTCTACAAACCAGATTAGAGCGTGCCGCCAAATGAACTTGCTCACGTGGCCAAGTTTGGGGAACAACTGTTCCGAATCGTCGGGGCTGGATAAGAGCAAGACAGGGCCAGAAGGCTTGAAAAAGAAAAGAATCTGACACTGCTCAGCAAACATACGATGCCAAGAGTCTTTTGCTCAGAGTGATCTGAGGTAGAGCCCCGATGACAGAGGAAGGGTCCAGGGGTAGCTGGACTGGTTCTGAGACCAGTGTAGAGTTTTATGTCCCTTCCAGGCTCACTCTAGGTGGTCCTGGTATAAGAGACACGCTAGTCCAGGCAGTGCCCTATGTAAATTGGAAAAAGTTGGCCCCTCTGGACGTCTGTAGGTCTATGGGTACATGACCTGGTGAGCAGAGCATGGGCTAGATTTTAGCCCTCATCACCTCTTCAGCTAGGTGCTCTTAGGCAGTGAGCAATTTATACAACTGTACATGGCTGTCCTGCATAAAGTTCCATTAAATTCAGCAAATATTCTCCCAGTGCTAGACCTGTGCTGTTCACCACAGGCATGGAGCTAAGTAAGACCTTTCCCTGCCTGAAGAAAACTTAAGACAACAGACTTGTATATCTTAGCACAGAACTCATTATTGAATTTAACCGTGGCTCATTCATTCATTGAACAAATGAACAACTGGTTTTTGAGCACCTTATGAGGCCTAGAATGAAAATTAAAGACATGTGATGTGGTATCACATTTTTTTGGGAGACAATGGAATGAAATCTATAGTTAGTTCCATCCCACAAAAATCCAGAGGCCTGTGGTAACCAGGCATAGGTCAGAACTCACAGCCCTTTTCAAAGCTTGCCTGGGTCTGGGCTGGACTTCCAGAGGTTTTTCACAAAATCCCCAGGGTGCAACTGGAGTGTGACAGGACCCAGGGGAAGAGGCAGGAGACTCCCCACCCCTCTAACAACCTCTGACAGGTCTGTGGAATAGAATATTGACAGTATTTGGACCGATCTCTCGGGATTAGGTTAACCAGCCGACGGGAAAGGATAAGGTCATTTTCAAAAGGTACATGGTAGGCTCTGTAGGTTTGCTTGTGAGGTTTTGTTACGTTTGGTTTTTTATGTTGCCCATAAAGTGATCCGAGCTTTCAAATGTTCCCCCCTGTAACATGCCCATTAAAACCACGGTGCATTATCAGAATGGCTATCAGGAAGGAAAAAAAAGAGGCAGTCTTACTCTAATACTCTCCCAGTGGGAGTGGCAATTGGTGCGACCAGTTTGGGAGACCGTTTGACAGTAACTACTGGGCTGACCATCGGTGTATCCCCTGACCAGGGAATCGGCACTCCTTGTTTTACTAAACCCAAGAAGAAATACGGACGATATGTTTTCCAAATGACACGCTCAAGGATGTTCCTAGCTGGTTATTTGTTATCACCCAACAACTGGAGAGCCCTCAAACACCCATCAGCCGCAGAATGGATACACCGTACAGCCCTACACCCCACACCAGGATACAGATGAATCTCACGAGCTCCCAAACCTTAATGTTGCACGAACCCAAACACAAGGAAACATAGTGTGTGAGCCCACGTAGATAGAGTACAAAACCAGGCAAACTGTCGGCACCTGTTAGAAGTCAAAGTTTTCTCCCGAGGCCACGGTCTAGTGATTCAAAGGAGACACAAGGGAGGATGTTGGGGTCCTGCTAACGTTCCCTTTCTTGATCTGGGTGCTGGTTACGTGGGTGTGTTCACTTTGTGAGAATTCATCGGGCACTTTTTTGTATACATGCCCCACCTCACTAAAATGTTTTCAACATTACATGTTATTTTTTTTAAATAACAATAAGGAAGGGGTGCCTGGGTGGCTCAGTCGGTTAAGTGTCCAACTTCAGCTCAGGTCATGATCTCGCGGTCCGTGAGTTGGAGCCCCGCGTCGGGCTCTGTGCTGACAGCTCAGAGCCCAGAGCCTGTTTCAGATTCTGTGTCTCCCTCTCTCTGACCCTCCCCCGTTCATGCTCTGTCTCTCTCTGTCTCAAAAATAAATAAACATTAAAAAAAAATTTTTTTTTTAAATAACAATAAGGAAGATAAGAAAAACCAAAAACAACAACAACAACAGCAGGTACCAGAAGCACATGCTGGCCTGAGGCCCAACCTGCAGCCAGCCCTGTGACAGCCTCCCTTTCTCTGCAGGGCGCTACGTCTTGTCCTTTGTTGGCTGCGGTTTGGCCATCGTGGGCACCTACTTGCTGGTGACATTCGCACCCAACAGTCACGAGAAGATGACAGGCGAGAACATCACCAGGCACCTCGTGAGCTGGCCTTTTCTCTTGTACATGGTAAGAGAAGCCATTGTGCCTTCCACCCAAGATGGCAGGAGGGAGCATCAAGTCCTAGACCCCGGGCACCTGAATATCCAGCAATAGGGGATTCAAGTGAATCATGACGTATTTCACAGCACCAAAGACCGTGCTTGTGGCAAGGATGTACTCCATGGGAAATGCCTTTTTCACTCATATCCTGGGTAATGTCTAAATCTGCACATATAATACAATAATTTTAGTTTTTAGAGATAGTGTAGGTGTGTGTGTACAATGTATATGTGAAGGACTAGACGGAGAAACAGAAACTCTATCTATAATTGTCTCCGAGAGCTGGAATTAGGATTGAGTGTTCACTTCACCTGTGTCTTAATGCATCATCCAAAATTTCTCCAGTGATCATTTAAGACTTTTAAGGTAAGAAAAACACTTAACATTTTAAACAGTCATAGAAATGTTACCTATTTATTTTTTCCCAGTATCACACAGCTGCTGGAAGCTAATAGAGACTCCAGAGACACTGGAAACTGTCTCTTAAACCCCTAGCCCCGATTACGTCCCACGTTAGGTCTACAAATAAACTGAGGAAGCATGTAAGGTATTTAATAAGCTGCCGGTATATATTCCTGTTCTATGCCAGGCAGGCACTGAGCTAAACACTTTCTTGCGTATCATCTCAAATTCTCCCAGAACCCTATAAGGTTTTTCTCCCCATTTTATGGAGGAGAAAACTGACGCGTCGGGAGGTTAGCTGACTGCTCAGAGTCCCACGAGGGCAGAGCTGGATTCGAAGTCGGGCCTGCCTGGCTTCACAGACCACCTTCCTTCGCCACGGCCCGCTGATGAAGGTGTTGACTGTTTTTCCTCTGACACAAGCAGCCTGGGACTGCTCTACAGGCCTGAAACGTCCTTTTTCCTTAGTTTGCTCCCAAGGCAGAGAATAGATGTCCCCCAGATTGGGACTGTTTCATCTCCCTACCGTCAGCCAGCCCCAGCGTGTAGCTGGTGGGCGTGGAGACTGCCATTTCTCCACACCCTGTCTCTGGCAGGACAGAGCCAAAGAACACCCCTCTTCAGGAAAAGCTTAACCCCAGAACACAGTTTTCTCTTAGGGAGTCCTGGGCTTGAATCTGTCATGCGCTGTGTGACCTTGGCCAGGTCACCTAACCGGAAGCTCTGCCTCCTTCTGTGTAAGCTTGGTGGGAGTCACTGGCCCGGGGCTGGTGGTTGGGGGACGTGAGGTGGTGCGGCAATCATCCAGCCCTTGGCAGATGCCCAGTGACCTACTCTGTTTGTCTCCTTGTGTCTCCAAGGCATTGCCGCTGTAACCGAACGCAAGGGGTCGCTGCTTGGGGTGCATCCAATTGAACACAACCCGAGAAAGTGTTGAAAGCAAAGACCTTTTATTACTTGTCACAAGTAAGGAGACAGGGAGATAGCTCTCAAAGCACTGTCTCCCCGTGGGGTTAGGGCAGGAAGCTTTTATGCAGTGTGCTGGAGGACAAGGGCAGGGAGCTGGGCACATTAAGGAACTGATGCATTTTCTGTTTCTCAGGCACTTTGGTTCAGCTGCACATGCTTATTAGCATGTTGACGTGCTAGTCCATACATTGTATATTCACAAAAAATGGCAGAAAACCCCACCCATAGGAGATCTTAGCATTAGAATGAGTGAAAGGTAACGTTAGGGCAGCTCATAGGGCTGTGCAGGCCCCGGTCTCCAGCATGCCTCGAACTGGCTCACTCAAGGGGTGTCTCTCTAGTGGGGTACCTGGCCTTGACCTCTCCTTGATGGGAGCTGTTTATTTCCCTGCCTTTGCCCCTGCCCCCTCTCCCTCCCGCTGATAGATTTCAGTCCCCTGACGTGAGTACGTCTCTGTTGTGACCTAACACTGCCAGCTAGAGAGATGTGGCCCGATTCGGTCAACATTCATGGAGTATCTGCTGTGTGCCAGACATGGTGCACGTGAGACTGACGGCAGGTGCACTTGTGAGCAGAGCATGATATACAGAGTTGATAGAGTTGTCCAGTCGCTGGACACTAACGTGATGTGGTGTGTCAACTATACTTCGGTAAAAAAAAGAAAGGAAGAGAGGAGACATGCTCCCAGGACTCAAGGTCACGTACGCAGCAGCACCAAGCCTATGCCAGCACGCATTTAAGCCTCGTGAAGAATGGCTAGAAAACCGGGCCCCCTGAGAGCACGCACGATGGTTAGCAATGTTGATGAGCAACTGCATCTGCTTGATGGTGTATGTTGCGGCAATTAAAGATAATTATGACAACTTCAGAAAATACGAGAGTTGTTTTTGGTAACTAAAAACAGCCCAGGACAAAACTGCGCTGACTGTGATGACAAGTAGATAAAATATGTATTCACTGCAACAAAGGCAGGAAGAAACAGGAAAATGAAAACAGCTGGGGTTTTGGTTTTTTTTTTTTTATGGTCTCCAATTTTGAGGAATTTAAAAATTTTTCGAAATGCCCGTTAATGTTTCTGCGTTGCTTTTTATGAGTGCCTTCTACACCCTAGGCCCTGGGCCTCTCGCATCCGGGCAGCGTAGCCTAGTGGGAAAGTGCACGGGCCCTGGAGCCAGACTGCCCAGGTTCGGATCCCGGCTCTGCCATTTCATTAGCTAGCACTGTGACAGTGCCTACTTCACAGAATTACTGTGCTGATTTAACGACCTTAGTCTAGACACAGTGTTTACAAAGTGCCTGGCGCCTTTATGAGTTCGTTACGCGTTAGCGATGATTATGGCCTTACAAAGTAAGAATCGTAATCCCTATTTCACAGATGAGGTAATCGAGGCTTAGAGATATTAAGTGACTTGCCCACGGCCACACAACCATTGTAGAAGCAGATCCAATTTCAAACTTGGGCCTCGCTGACTCCAAATGTCCTTTCTTTCGACCCCACCAAGCCGCGCACATTGAAGGTTTGGTTAGGGGACAGAGGCACGTATACTTAAGCCAAAGGTTCTACTTCAACCAAAGAGCTCTTCTCCTCAGTGAACAGTGTCTCCCTCTTTTTTCTTTTTCATTTATTTTTTAAAACTTTTTTTTATGTTTATTTATTTTTGAGAAAGAGACAGAGTGCGAGACAGGGAGGGGCAGAGAGAGGGGGGAGGCACAGAATCTGAAACAGGCTCTAGGCTCCGAGCTGTCAGCATAGAGCCTGATGCGGGGCTCGAACGTACAAACTGTGAGATCATGACCTGAGTCGAAGTCAGTTGCTTAACCAACTGAGCCACCCAGGCGCCCCTAGTGTCTCCCTCTTTGACCCACCTTCAGTTTTAATGGGGTTACCCACGGAGCAGTGAGGTGGGGAGAAACCTCAGCCTGATGAATCCCGGCCATGTAAGACAGGGCGTGTGTGAGGCCAGCGCACCCCCCTCAAAGCCCTGAGCAAACTCCTCATCAGTGTTACCCAGAGGGTAGAGATTCACTCAGAGTTTACTCAGAGCCCCTCCCGTTTCCACGGGAGAGTTTGGGAAATGCTGGGTGCTTCAATTCCCTGTCAACTCTGAAGGAGTTGAATCCTTCCATGACTTCCAACTCCGTGACTTTAGTGACACCAGCAGCATCAACTCCAGCCCAGCCCAGCAGGGCCTCCCAGGCTTGCCCACACCCACGGCCACCACTGACCTCCCCGCCTGCTGACTTCCACAGCTTGTCGAGATCATTCTGTTCTGCTTGCTGCTGTACTTCTACAAGGAGAAGAACGCCAACAACATCGTCGTGATCCTTCTCCTCGTGGCCTTACTCGGTGAGTGGGGGTCTGGGTGGTTGAGTTTTGCCACCATCGGGCAGCACCACAAGGTCCCTGCCGAGTGGAGGTGGCTTCCGTCAGTTCTGTCACTCTGCTGACTGCGTTCAGTGTCCTTGCTCCAATACCAAGAGTCCCCTAAGTGCCAGGAACGGTGCCAGAGAGAGAGCCACAGCGGTGGACAAGACAGACAAACCCCTGCCCTAGGGAGGCCTCCATTCCAAAGGGAGGAAGTGTTAATAAACAAGCAGACAAATGCATAGATCCTGGAGAAGTTTGGGCCGTGGTGATTACAGTGAAGAAGAAGACAGCAGGGTAAGGGCGAGGGAGGTAAGAGTTTATTTCAGAGAAGTCAGCGGTGGGGCAGGCTCCAACAACTGCCTCCTTAAGGCTTCATGGAAGCCTGTCGGGCTGGGAAGGAGTGCTGGATTCAAATGCAGGAATCAATTTTGCTCTGTCACCTGTTTTTTCTTTCCTTTGGGAGGGATGGGCGTGATGTGGGAAATGGCCCCTGAATCAGACTGGGGCAAGGCCTGACCCCACATAGAGTGTGATATACTAATCGGGCTGTGAGATGTGCCCGGACTTCCAGGGGAAGGAGAAGGGGGGGGGGGGGGCCTCCTGCTACCCCCTGGGGCCTCTGTAGCCTGGGGCAGGTGACTCCCTCCTGTTGAAGCCACACTGTCCTCTAAAAATAGGCCTGGGAGAACACCCAAATCTCAGGGGGGGGTGAGCAGGGATAGATGAGACCAGCACAAGTGCCCAAGACGTGTTGCCGCCCTCGTGTCCTTCCCACACGGAGCCTCCACACCAGTCACAGGCCGTCAGCCACACAGATAGGGGCCACAGGGGCCGAGGTCGCAGCATTTTGATTTTTTAAAAACAGCTTTATTGAGATATAATTTACCCACCATAACATTCACCTGTTTGAAGTATACAATATCAACGGAATCCTCTAATAATGGGGCTTTTTGTGACTGGCGTCTCTCACTGAGCGTATCTTAGAGGTTTGCCCGTGCAGTAACTTACAGTGGCGGTCCCTTCCTCGGTGATCTTGTTTGCAAAGCAGTTTGGAAGGTCAGGGTCCCTCTGATGAGCAGGAAGGCCAGAAGGCCCTAAGGCACATTGGCTGCTCTCCCTGTGTCCCCTTCTCACCAGCAAGGACACCCTCACGAAAGTGCCTGTCTTCACTGGCTGCTGCTGTTTGACAACCGTCATCTAGGTAGCCGAGGGGCCCAGAAGCCGCTGTGTGTGGTGGGTTGTTAGCAAGAGGGAAAAGGAGCAGAAGCCAAGAAAAATGGGAAAGGGGAGCACCTCAGCCAGAATAAAGGGCTTCATTTGTACCCACACTTGGCAGTGGTTTCTTTTCACTCCTCCTCCGGCGGGGGGGGAGGGGGGGGATCGGACAGTTTAGGCTTAGCAGTCATTTCTGCACCACTGGATAAAGCAGTGGTCTCCATAGTGAGGTGAGCAATGATCTCTCCTGCAGCTGTTATATAATGTAAATACCATATAAGCACAGTGGTACGTGGGTATCACTTTAAAATACACACACATGTATTATCAGAAAAGTATGTGCAGGCACATAGGGGTAGGATTCCAAAACATCCAGGGACCTCTAACAAAATGTTTGTTTGTTTTTTTTTTAATACAAGTGAAAAAGCATTAAAAAAAAAAAAAATAGAGCTCCTTGCACACCATGTTTCTTTTCCCTGTGATTGCCATGAGAATGATACTCAAAAGAAGTTCATTTATCCATTCAAAGATCCTCTTGACCTCCTACCATGTTCCAGGCACAACGCTGCCACTCGCGTTCAGACTTAGACTCAATGCCCTTTCTTGCTGGAGTCTGGAAATGACATTTGGAGACGCCTGTTGGTATTCTGCTTCCTTCTCTTCTTGGACGTAGCAGCACAGATAGGGCAGCTCATGGAAGGGGCGTAAGAGAGCCAAGGCAAACGGCTTCTTCTCGCCACGTCGGTCACTGGGTTGGCTCTGCCAGTGCTCTATATTTTTCATCAAGTCCTTTGGGGTCATAAACTGACTTTCAGGGGGCGACTCCCTGCATCCGTCCCTCCTGTTCACCTTCCGCAGGCTCAATGACGGTGGTGACGGTGAAGGCCGTGGCTGGCATGCTGGTCCTGTCCATCCAGGGGAACCTGCAGCTCGACTACCCCATCTTCTACGTGATGTTCGTGTGCATGGTGGCCACCGCTGTCTACCAAGCCGCGTGAGTCGCAGACCCTTTTCCTGCCGGGCCTCTGCACACAGGTCTCTTCCGGGCGCTGGGCCCGATCTGCTTTGTTTCGGAAGCTGTAGGGAAGGCAGAACGATCGCACCACACAGCCTGCAGCCAAGGTTAGGCAGCCGCTGTGGGGGGAGAGGGGTCGCTGATTGGCCGAGCTGTCACGTGGTGGGGCGGGGCTCTGTGCCCCCGGAAAGATGAAGCCCGGAAGGGACGTTGTTTTTCCCGCCGCCTCAAAATGGGAGAAATGTGTGATCACCGGCAGCCTCGCCTCCCGTCTCCTCCCAGGCAGGCGTCTGCTTCGTGGACTCTTGAAGCTGTGCAGCCCCCAGGAGCCACCTGTTAGGTGGAAAACGGAAAGTTGCCATTTCTTACCCCCAAGAAATCTTCCCCGTAGAGCGAGGTGATCGTTTCTCTCTCAGAAGCGGTGGTCCTAAGGGTAGGCCTGGGCCTTGTCCACGTCTGAGACCCGGTGCTCGGCAGAGGGCCCCCGACGGCCTGGGACCGGATTGAGTGTTGGGCCCTAGAGCCTCTCCTCTCCAGGCCTTTCCCTCAGCTTCCCTGGGATCAGATTCCTTGTCCACAAGTGAGAACAACAACGGCCCCGACCTAAGAGAATCGCATAAAGCGCTCAGTACCGTCCCCAGAGTAATGTCCACAACATCTCAGCCTCTTTTATGATTATGATGACTATTATTATGGCGATTATTTTTTAAATGTTTATTTATTTATTTTGAGAGAGAGCGAACGAGCAGGGGAGGGACAGAGAGAGAGAGAGAGAGAGAGAGAGAGAGAGAGAGAATCCCAAGCAGGCTCCATGCCGTCAGCACGGAGCCCAAAGTGGGGCTCGAACCCAGGGAACTATGAGATCATGACCTGAGCGCAAACCAAGAGTCAGATGCTTAACCCGCTGAGCCACCCAGGCACCCCTGTTATGTGGATTATTACTGGCTTTAGTCCTACTACAGAGATTCTGGTCATCACCCCTGAGCCGACCCAGCGCCAGGCTCTGTGCTGAGCACCCCACGGTTCCAGAGATGAATCCGATGCCCACTCCCCCTTCTCACTCACCCAGTCAGCACACGTCCACCGAGGGCCCGCTGTGTGCCGGGCTGGTCTGCACACACAGGCCTGAGCAATAGTCGCTGTCCCCAGGACACTCACAGCCCTGGGGTAGGGGGAAGGGCAGCCACACTAACGGAAGAGAACAACTGAGTGGGATGTATGTCATGGTGTAGGCAACTAGGTAGTAATAACTAAATGCTATGCAGAGAATGGACAAAGAATATATTCCAAGATGAGGGAGTGTTCATCCTAGATGGAGAGATTAGGAATGATTCTAATTTCTCTCTCTCTCTTTCCCGTACTTACTGCAGCGAGCACATTATTTTTGCATTAAGAAGAAAATTTGTTTTAAAAAAATAATTTATAGGAGCACCTGAGTAACTCAGTCAGTTGAGCGGCCGACTTCGGCTCAGGTCACCATCTCGTGGCTTATGGATTCGAGCCCCATGTCGGGCTCTGTGCTACAGCTCAGAGCCTGGAACCTGCTGCTGATTCTGTCTCCCTCTCTCTCTGCCCCTCCCCCCACTTGTGCACTGTCTCCCCCCCCCCAAATATAAACATTAAAAAAGTTTTTTTTTAATAATTACAGCAATAGGCAGAATGTGCTAAGTGCTGTAAGTTTCTTGGACTATATACAAGGACAGAAGTGGCTCTTTTTAGTGGGGTGGGGATGCTGGCGACAGTGACGGGAGGAGCGTGAGAAGGGCGTTTCGGGTGACGAGGACCCTGTGGCCAGAGAGGTATGAGACCGGGAAGGCATGGCCCACGTGGGGAACAGGATTGTCCAGGGGACAAATGGGAACAAAAGCGTGGACCCCAGACCGAGAGAGGCACAGGGGTGGCATCTTTGTAAACCCAAGGGATGTTCCTTCATGTGCCATCTTCATTTTTCAAACCGAGCCTACTGTCATCAGCTCTCACCTCAGCCTTCCTGACATGCCCACTGACCACAGTGCTCTTGTGTTTAAGGTTTTTAAGTCAAGCCTCACAGATGTACGACTCCTCTTTGATTGCCAGCGTGGGCTACATTCTGTCCACTACCATTGCTATTACAGCAGGTAAGGGTGGCGATCGCTAGATTCCTGTCTCCCACCTGCGCAGCAGGGACATTAGCCCAGTGTGGAGGGACGGGGCTCTGCCTCTCTCAAAAGGCCAGTTCTGCGGACTTGTTCTACCTCTCAGAGTCGTGTATGACGTCATAGAGAAAGTGCAGGATTTCGGGCCAGAGGGACCCGGGTTTGCACCCTAGCACAGACACAGAGCCGTGTGACCCTAGGAAAATCACTTAACCTCTCTGAGCCCCAGTTCCACATTCATAAAATGGGAATAACACTCACGTCCTAGAATTGAAACACACACAAGATGTACTTTGTACAACTGGCACAAAGTTTCTCCAGCGATTTTTGCCATCATCTGCTAGCTCCACTAAGTGATCACAGATTTCTTCTCTGTAATTTTTAGAGATTATGTCCGGATGAAGCATCTGTAATGTAATAGGTGCTGAGTAAGCCGTCATCAGTTTGGCAGGCCCCCTTTCTTCTACTCCACCCCTACTTTTTCTTCTGAGGTGGCTTCGGAGGCTGCAAGCATATCAGAGTGTGTTTGTTTTTAAGGGTCAACGAAGATGAAAACCTCCGAGGTAATAAGGCCAATAAGAACAGTGTGCCTCCCTTTGAGGAAGGCCCGGCCGTAAAGCCAGATGTTTTGCACTGCCCTTTAGACAAGCGTGCCAAATCCTGCTCACAGAGGTGGGAACAAGGTAGGCACGCGTCCTGCCAGAGCCTGTGCTGAGAGCAGGACCCGGGATCCCGGGAGGCGTTGACCCAGAGCAGCCAGAAAGTGAGCCCGCTGCACAGACTTAAGTCATGATCCAGAACTTGGGTCCAGTCAGGGTTGAAAGGAAAAGCCAACAGCATGGTCAGAAGCTGGGCAGGACTCAGGAGCTCAGGGACACAACATGAAGCCCCGGGAGGTAGAATGAGTCCAGACAGACGCAGGCTGCAAGGCGGGTGAGGGCAGCCAGGCCCATGTGGCTCCCGGTGCAGGAGCGGGCCTGCAGGCCTGCCATCTGCTGGCCACGCGAGGTTAAAGAGCTCTGACAGCTTAACACCAAGCCTTGCCTTTCCCTCTTATGAAAGACGGGGGAAGGGAGTATATAAAAACTGGCAAAGAAAGTCTGTAGTTTCGTTTATAGTGTGTTTAATTGGGGGAGGCTGGGTGCAGGGTCCATGAGAACTCTATAGAAAAACAAGATGGAGATAAGAGGAGTGTAGGAGAAAGAGAAGACAGTCTGTCTCCCCACCCCCCCCCACCCCACCACCCCGCCCCGAAATGGCTTTTATTCCACTCTTCTGACATTTGCCCTGCTGGTCATGATGTTTCTGATCACTTTGGTTTCCTACAGGGAAGAGAGTTTAGCCAAATGCTACACAGACTGGCAAGAAGGTGATTTGAAAACAGCTCACCCATATTTCCTATTTTCTGCTGTTCCAGGAGCAGTATTTTACCTGGACTTCATCGGGGAGGATGCGCTACACATCTGTATGTTTGCACTGGGGTGAGTTACGTCCTGCTGTCTGGCCTGGGGCATTGCCTGGGGCCGGAGAACTCCAGGCAGTTTGCCTCTCTGGCCCCACTATTGCTTCTGCCTCTCAGGCAATCCTTTAGATCCCAGGGAGCAGCCAGGATTTAGAGCTTTGTCCTCCAGAGGGTGAGGCTTTTCCTCCCAAAGGGCTTTATCTCCCTCCCCTTTCTTCTCTTTTGGGCTCTAATCTCCTTGTCACTTTGAAAAGATCCCATTTTGACACATGAAAAGACTCTCAGCCTCACCCCAGATCACAAAAATGCATTTTTTTAAAGTTTATTTTTTGAGAGGAGGGGGAGGGGAAGAAACAGGGGGAGGGGAGGAGAGAGAGGGAGAGAGAGAGAGAGAGAGAGAGAGAATCCCAAGCAGGCTCCACTCAGTGCAGAGCCTGACACTGTGTTCGATCCCACAACCATGAGATCGTGACCTGAGCCTCTATCAAAACTCAGATGCTTAACTGACTGAGCCACCCAGGTCCCCCCCCCAGAAATGCATTTTGAAGCCAAATGAGATGCCATCATTTTGCAAAAAGTAACAGGATTAATAAGCCATGTTGGCAAGAGGAGAGGACGAGGAGACCAGCTCTCTGCCACACCGAGAGGATGTTTAATGCCAGAGGACAATTTGGCAATGTCAATAAAAATTGTAAGTGAGCAATGTTTGATGCAACATTCCATTTCTAATCACTTATCTTGGAAAAATCATTGAAATGGGACGCAAAGACACATGTATGAGGCTGTTTTTTAGTTAAAAAGTTAATTGTACAAGGAAAAAATTGGAAGTAGCCTAAATACCCAGCAATAGAATACAGGCTAAATAGATTGTGGTATGTCCATATAATAAAGTACCATGCTGCCATTTTGAAAAATTGAGGTCAGTCTATAGGTACTGACATAGAACCATGTCTAGGATATATTAAATGGAAAAAAATACATTTTTTAAAAATGTATAGTCTACCCTATGATCTAGCAACTCCACATCTAGATATATACCCAAAACAAATAAGTACACATTGACAAAATGACTTGTACCTGAATATTTATAGTAGCTTTATTCATCATATGTCCAAATGGATACAACCCAAACGTCTATACACAGGAGAGTAGAAAGCAAATGATATAGTATATTAAGACAGTGGATTCAATATAACAAAACCAATGAACTACTAATATATACAATAAGGTGAATGAACCTTAAAAACATTTATTAAGTAGGGGCACCTAGGTGGCTCAGTCAGTTGAGCATCTGACTCTTGATTTTGGCTCAGGTCATGATCCAAGGGCTGTGGGATCAAGTCTCCCTTCGGGTTCCATGCTGAGCATGAAGTGAAACCTACTTATCCTCTCTCTCTCTCTCTCTCTCTCTCTCTCTCTCTCTCTCCCTCCCTCCCTCCCTCCCTCCCTCTCCCCCTCCCTCTCTCCCTCTCCCTCTCTCCCCCCAACCCCACCCCACCCCACCCCCTGCCTCTGCCCTGCTCACACACTCTCTCTCTAAAATTAATTTAAAAAGCAGGGCGCCCAGGTAGCTTAGTCAGTTGAGCATCTGACTTTGGCTCAGGTCATGATCTCACAGTTTCTGGGCTCTAGCCCTGCGTCAGGCTCTGTGCTGACAGCTCAGAGCCTGGAGCCTGCTTCGTACTCTGTTTCCCTCTCTCTCTGCCCCTCCCTCCTGTGCTCTGTCTCTCCTTCTCTCAAAAACAAACAAACAAACAATAAAGAAATAAGTAAATAATGAAAAGTTTATTAAGTGGAAGAAACTAGACAGAGTATATACATGCTGTATGATTTCACTTATAAGAAGTTCAAGAACAGGCAAATCAAGTTTTGGGTGATAGAGGAGGTCAGAACAGTGGCTTCCTCTGGGGCAGGGTTAGCATGGATTGGAAGGGGCGTGAGGAAACTTTCTGGGGTGGAGGGGATGCAAATGTCTCCTCTGTGGACTTGTGTGGCGGTCACACAAGTGTCCACACGGACCAAATTCATCGAGCGCTACATTTAGGGTTTGTGCATTTTACGGCATGTAAATCACACCTCAGATTTTATTTTTTTATTTTTATTTTTTCAACGTTTATTTATTTTTGGGACAGAGGGAGACAGAGCATGAACGGGGGAGGGGCAGAGAGAGAGGGAGACACAGAATCGGAAACAGGCTCCAGGCTCCGAGCCATCTGCCCAGAGCCTGACGCGGGGCTCGAACTCACGGACCGCGAGATCGTGACCTGGGTGAAGTCGGACGCTTAACCGACTGCGCCACCCAGGCGCCCCACACCTCAGATTTTAGAAAGCATGTTTATTTATCTAAACTCTAGGGAAAAAGGAAAAGACTCTAGAAGAATGTACACCTGCGGGGGGAGGGGGTGGGATTAGGGAGAGATCAGGGGCTTTTTCACTTTTTCTTTCTCTCCTATACTGATTGAATTTAGGCCACAAAGAATTTTTTTGATTTAAACAAAATATTTTGGGGGGCACCTGAGTGGCTCAGTCGGCTAAGCGTCCGAACTTCAGCTCAGGTCATGATCTCTCAGTTCGTGGGTTTGAGCCCCGCATCGGGCTCTGTGCTGACAGTTCAGAGCCTGGAGCCTGCTTTGGATTCTGTGTCTCCCTCTCTCTCTGCCTCTCCCCCATTCATTTCTCTCTCTCTCTCTCTCTGTCTTAAAAATAAATAAACATTAAAAAAATATTTTTTAAGGGGAGGTTCTGAAGACACAGGCCAAATGGAAGGGAAGACATTTTGCCCAGGAAGAGTCTAATTTATCCTGATTAACGCAGTGCCGAGCGTAAGGGTGTGTGAGGCCATCGTTTATCTCCAGTCTGCTCCCTGCCCATCTCAGGCCCCCCAGCCTCCCCAGGGCTGTTCAGCAGCAAACCCCCTCCCTGTGGCCTGTGACCCTCTTTTCCCCCTCACCTGGGCTTGAAAGTAGCCCCCCCAACCTCACTCTGGCCTTTTTTCTCTCCCTCCCTTGCCCCTGTTCTCAGGTGCCTCATTGCATTCTTGGGTGTCTTCTTAATCACCCGTAACAGGAAGAAGGCCATTCCATTTGAGCCCTATATTTCCATGGATGCCATGCCAGGTAACGTTAAAACCCCATGTGTCCAGCTGCCAGCCCATCCATATAGAATGGCTGCTACTTCCTGTTTAAAAAGAGACGGCTGTCTGCTGGGTTTGGTACAGGGAAGGTGTGCTGTGCCGTTATGGTGTGACTGTCTCTCTCTCTCTCTCTCTCTCTCTCTCTCTCTCTCTTTTTTTTTTTTTAAATCTCACTGTGCCAGATAGGAGGCAATGGTTGAGGCACCTCAGTTGGTTTTGAGCCCATCTCGCCAGTTCCCGTGTGTATTTTGGGATCTCTTAAAGACAATCCTGATTCACACTGGATAGAATTATGATCTGTCCATCAGGCTTTGTACCTGTGAAAGGAAAACTCCACTCATCCAGTTGGAATAGAACGACCAGAGAGGGGAAAGAATATAGGATGAATGAAATTCAAATACTATAACCTCACTCCTTAGATTCCGCGAGGGAGTGGATTGTTCTGGAAAGCCTAGTTTCCCAGGGAGCTGGGGGTTCACCCTGAGCAGCACAGGCTCAGATGTGTTTCGTCCTTGACAGTCACAAATGCGTGAATCAGCAGAGCACTGCACAGAAGGGAGCCGTGAGGGCTGTGGAGAACTGGGGCGTGCCCGCCCAGCCTCTCCAGGGACCCAGATGAGAAAAGTTAAGACACTGGGCCAGCCCCATCCAGGTTTGCCCACCTAAGTTCTGTGGGTTGCCGGTGACCACCTGCTTTCACTTTTTAGCTCAAAATTAATTTTTATTTTAGATATAACGGCGGAACTCTCTCCAGATCATAATCCCCACCCTGCGTTAAGACAGCCTAATGAAGGGGCACCTGAGTGGCTCAGTCGGTTAAGCGTCTGACTCTTGATCTTGGCTCAGGTCGTGATCTCACGGTTCATAGGATCAAGCCCCAAGTTGGGTTCTGTGCTGACAGCTCGGAGCCTGTGTGAGACTCTCTCTCTCCCCTGGCTCGCACGCTCTCTCTCTTTATCTCTCAAAATAAATAAGCATTAAAAAAAAAAAAAAAACTTCTTAAAAAGACAGCCTAATGAACAAACTATAACCACACTGAAGGCATCCGGTAGTCCTTAATAAAGGACGCTGGGATATAGCTGTGTTCTCAGGGCTGACTGAGGTGCCCCTGCTTTAAATGGCCCTATGGTTTGTGTGTCTTTTATATTATTTCCTCATCTTGCTCTCAAGCTGTCGTCTGTCATCCGTGCTGTTACCAGCCTGCCTGTGTACAGCAACTCCAGGTCCAACTTCTCATTTGACCCAACGTGCTCGAATTGTATATAAAATTAAGATAAACAAGCTCTGAGTTGGGGCCTTACGGTTTCTCCTAGGAGTTAAGTGCATGAGCTTTAGTGCATGGACTTCGAGAACATCTAATCTGGCTGCTCAGATGCCTTTTTTGCTTACTTCCTTGTTTCTCGGCTGTGTCCCGGATAGATGAGGGCGCTGGATAGCTGAATTCCAGATAGGTGAGGTGTCAACTCTGTGTGTGTGCAAGTATGTGTATGTATATGTGTGTTTGTGTGTTCACAAACTGTGTATGTGTATATATCTATATGAGTACTTGTATATGCATATATACAGATGTATTTTCCAGTGGAAAATAGAAGGTAACCTAAGGTAATCTTAGATATCAACATTCTGTGGTCTGTTTGTGGATGTGGCTCTGGGCTTCCTCTTTGTACCTTGTGACGGGTGGGAAGTCAGAGGTTGATGAAAGGAGACCCTGCCCTGTTGCCGTGGCGCGTCAGACACTTCCAAGTGGACGTGTCCCGTGCCACGTGGGCTTGGAGTTCTGGTGCCCTGGATTCCGATCCCAGCTCTGTGTCCACCCGCTCTGTGACCTTGGGCATGTCCTTGGGCAGGCCAAGGCCTCTGACCTTGTAAATTGGGATTCCTTCTCTCAGGGTAGTGGGATAATATGTGAAAGGCTCCCTTGCACAGTGTCTGCGACTTGGTAGATGCCTGGTTCAGTTTGGTTTCACTTCCCTGTTGCTTTAAAAAAAAATCTTTGAAAATTTCAAACACGTGTTCAACCTGATGCCAGGTAGAACACAAAAAATAAAAAAATAAAAAAAAAAAGGAGGGGGACGCTGGCTGGCTCAGTTGGTGGAGCACAGCATTCTTGATCTCGGGATCATGAGTTCAAGCCCCACATGGGGTGTAAGAATTACTTAAATTTTAAAAACTTTAAAAATAAATTAGTTAATTCATTAAATTAAAAAAAATAATAAAACTGTTTAAACCCACTGCCTTTCCTACTACCTGTATTCCCTGGTCAGCATTAGAGCCTTGCATTTGGCCTACCTAGATTGACCTTCACAACCGACCAGTAGCTACGGTTCAAGAGGCGTTCAGGGGCACCTGGGTGGCTCCGTCGGTTAAGCACCCGACTTCAGCTTAGGTCATGATCTCACAGTTCGTGGGTTCCCCACATCGGGCTCCGTGCTGACAGCCTGGAGCCTGCCTCAGATTCTGTGTCTCCCTCTCTCTCTCTCTCCCCTTCCCTCTGTCTCTCAAAAATGAAAAAACCTTAAAAGAAAAAAAAAAAATTTTTTTTTTAAGGAAAAAGCAGTCTCACAGTCCCCCCCACGGTGCACATCGCCCTCATTTTCCATAAATCAGTTAACCCATAATTGTCAGACTGTGGGTGTGGTCCTGCTGCTTAAGAACTTTGAAAACATCCAACAGCTAAGCCGTGCCCGGTAAGCGCACCCTTTGCCCGAAGGAACAGGCACCCCCCTCAGCTTTTGTAACTTCACCCCTTGGAATCTGTGTCCTCATCCGGATAATGGGGCTCGGATTGGGGGGCGGGGGGGTATTAAGTGGAAGTGTGCAGGGCGGCCACACGGCATTCCTGTTAAGAGTGTGGGCTTCAGCGCTCAGACCACCCGAGTTTAAACTCTAACGCTGCCACTTGCCGGCTTTGGGACCTCAAGCAAGTTCTATAACCTCTAACCGCCTCGTTCTCCTCATCAGTAGTTGTGAGGATCAGATGAGATCAAGCTTTTTTTCTGCCAGGAGCTCAATACTCAGTACCCGTTAGCTGTCCTCATGCTCCCTGTGGTTACCATTGTGATGTAGAGCGCTTAGCCCAGAGCCTGGGCGCAGTCGGGAGTCTGGCACCTGCTGTTACTGCCTTCATAGTTTCCTGGAGGACACTTTGAGTTCAGTTTCCTACGACAGCCTAGCGGCAAGAGAATTTGAAGTCTCAAGTCCCAGGCCAGGAAGAGAGTTGCCCTCCAAGGTCAGGTCCTGCCTGATGGGGAAAGTGTAGAACAAGGCTAACGGAATTCAGGAGTAAAGTCCCTGTTCTCAACTGTAAGAAGAAATCCAACATCAGTATGTGCCCAGGAGCGGTAGGCAGAATGGCACCTGCCCTCTATGCGGATCAGGGATGTTAATTGTTAAAGGTCAAAACTCGCCTTCTGAGTGTCCTGATGCGTCTGGCACCGCCGCGTGTCCATGGCACGAAAGTTACCCTCCCTCTTCTCCCAGGGGGATAATGAAATGTGCTGGATCCTGATTTAATTCCGCAGGAAAGTATTGGCATCTACCACGCTCGAAGCACGGTGCTGGTTCTGCTCCCCCTGGGGCCCAGACACGCGTTCCCACCTCGTGCTAGGCCAACCCATGGTCCCTCTTGACAATGGCTGGTCTGTGTGCATTATTTCCTGAAGATTCGTCCCCGGTTGCTTAGCAACCGTAATATTTCTAGCACATATTTCTGGATGTTCTTTTTTCGATCGAAAGCATTCAGGAAATTGGCAATGCACGTGATCAGCGCCCCAGCACTATAATTAGCCTGCGATGGGGTGGAGGAAGACGCAGTCTCCTGTGCCCCACCCCCACCCCTTACCACGTAATGATGTGGAGAAAATGGATTTCATTTCAGGTATGCAAAACATGCATGACAAGGGAATGACGGTTCAGCCCGACCTCAAAGCTTCTTTTTCCTATGGGGCCCTGGAAAACAACGACAACATTTCTGAGATCTGCGCTCCTGCCACGCTTCCGGTCATGCAGGAAGAACACAGCTCCGGGGCTGCCCCCGGGGTCCCCTACCGAGTCCTGGAACACTCCAAGAAGGAATGAGCCCACCTTGCTCCCTTTATAACTGCTCAAGCCCTGCCGATAGTGATTCAGCCCTGAATTCTGAAGTTTGCCTTTCGAGTCTTTTTTTTTTTTTTAACCGAGAACTCTCCAGAAGGGGATCTGGAAGAGCCTTTGTCTCTGGCAAAGAATATATTATCTTGGCTTGGAGATTCCGGATGACCAGGGTGGGGGTGGGGTGGGGGAGGACGAAAGCAGTATTCCGGGGTGGGTGGGGCGAGTGCGGGATTCAGACCCCGCCCCGTTCCGCCCCCACCCCCGGTCCCCCAGGCTGGGAGAGCCCCCATCATCCCCGAGGATGGTAACTGAACATCCCCCTTCGGTGACCGCAAGCTGCCACATTCCTCGCAGCTGAAACAAGACAGATCCTGCCCTCTCCTTTCCACATCGAGGGAGAGGCTGGGGACCCCTGAATCCAGTCTTCCTCTTGCCTGATCCTCCCCATCTCGCTCGCGATTCCATATTTTCACGTAACGTTTGCGTGGTCTTCACATGGCATAGCGGGCCAGCCCCGGGACCCTTCTGTCATTCACCCGCAGAAAACGCACGTGTGCCCCTTCCGGTTGTCTGTGCCTTTCTAGCGAAAACGTGCTTGATGTGTTCGTATTCCACCCGCGCTTGAAAGCTAATTTGTTTTTGGTTCCGTGAACTGTATGACTGCCTTTTTTTTTTTTAACCCCCCCAAAAGGAACGGAGAAGTTAAGAGAAGGAGGGAAATAACGTTCAGGAGCATCGGTAATGATACGTTAGCCCGAAAAGGAAGAAACATCCCTTCCCATCTTACAAAATGCGGTCGCATCACTTACAAAAGGATAGACAGAAAATCTGGCTCTTTTATTATGGGTATTTTCCTGCACACCAATGCCCTCTGGGAGGCCTCCATCATTCCCCCTCCATCCTCTCCTTTATAGATCAACAAACCAGACTTGAATTATTAGTTAATTAACTTGGAGCTGATAGAGACGCTGGGTCCTCCTTTCATACGGTCCCACATATGTCTGGAAAAGCGGGCATTCTCGGTAAGGGTTGCTGCTTTCTTTCAGGCTACTCACGTGATTGTCTTCCCCTAGACTGACTATACTTTTGAGAACGGCAAGAGTTTGCAAATCTTAGCATAAGGATCCCCTAAGGAGTTTATTTAAAATGCAGATTCCTACACCCCAAGCGCGGATATTCTAAGTGGGAATGGCCCAGAAGTCTGCGTTAAGTCTGCGTTCTTAATTGGCAGTACAGGTCATTCTGATGTATGTAATCCAAGAATCCCACACCTCAAAAGCCTAATAATTGCGAGAGACGGTCTGCTACAACCCCCGGGGGGCCGACACACTCCAGCCTGGAAAGTCGGAATTAGCATTCCTTGTTTCCCGTCTAGGGTTCACTTGGCAGGTCAAATAATTCCCATAGGATCTGTGGCATTCATCCATCCAGTGATAACTACTTAGAACTACACTTGACGTTTCCCTAGGCAGTCTTTAACTAATAGGCAAGATAACAGTGTTAATAGACCAGTGTTGATAGATCATTAACCTTTATGGATTGTGCTTAATACCGATTTAGTACCTTGACTTCAAAACCCGGCATCTGTCGCCTGCGATAACCACTTCTGTATTGTGTCTTAACCACTTCTGTATTGCGTCTTCCATGCCTAACAAGGCAGCAGACGGTGACCTTTTTTCTTTAGGACAGGTGTCCACTCAGTTCAACAATATTTGTGAGGCATTACCTGTGTGTTAATAAGCATTTGGACGGTGAAGGCTACAAAGAATGACCATGGTTCCTGCCTCCCCAGACCAGCAGAGGAAGACACATACCCAGGAAACCGTGGCAGGGCAGGCCTGGAGAGGTGCACCTTGCAACAGTGGGCCACGGAAAAGGACAGTTTGAGGGAGGGGGCGCTGCCTAAGGTCAGACCCCAAGCCTGGAACAGGGTACTCAGAATTGAAGGTGATTTGGGGGTGCCGGGTTGGCTCAGTAGAGCACGCAACTCTTGATCTCAGGGTTGTGAGTTCGAGCCTCATGTGTGCTGTAGAGTGTACTTAGAATAAAAATTAAAATTTCTGAAACTATTCAGTTTCAATTCATTTTATTTATTTTTTTAAGTTTATTTATATTTGACAGAGAGAGAGAGAGAGACAGAGCATGAGTGGGGAAGGGGCAGAGAGAGAGGGAGACACAGAATCTGAAACAGGCTCCAGGCTCTGAGCTGTCAGCACAGAGCCTGACACGGGACTCGAACCCTCGGACCGCAAGATCATGACCTGAGCCAAAGTCGGACGCTCAACCGACTGAGCCACCCAGGCGCCCCATCAATTAATTTTAAAAATAAAAAGAATTGGAGATGTTTGGGGCCTCACTCATTGATGGGGGCAGGTTTGAGCAAAGCATAGAAGTTAGGGCTGACCAGCAACACCCCCCCCCCCACACACACACACACCCCAGGTAGAGGGGCCAGCATTTGCAAAGGCACAGTGATAGGGAGTGGGTGTTGACAAAGAAAGGAGAGGCAGAGAAGGTGGTGGGAGATGAACCTGGAAAGATAACCAGTGGAGGGGCACCTGGGTGGCTCAGTCGGTTAAGCATCCAACTTCAGCTCAGGTCATGATCTCGCGGTCTGTGGGTTCGAGCCCTGCGTCGGGCTCTGTGCTGACAGCTCAGAGCCTGGAGCCTGTTTCAGATTCTGTGTCTCCCTCTCTCTGACCCTCCCCCGTTCATGCTCTGTCTCTCTCTGTCTCAAAAAATAAATAAAAGTTAAAAAAAAAAAAAAAGATAACCAGTGGAGGCCAAATCATGGAGGCCTTGAATACCTGACAGAAGAGACCAAGGTGCATCTTAGTGGGCATGGGAGCCATTGATGATCCATGAGGAAGAGAACGGCAGGATCAACGCTGATTGGAAAGGAGGCCTTCTGCAGAGTGTAAGAGAAAGAATCTGAAGGGATAATAAAAGTCACTTTTCAAGGTCAAGCTGCAAAGCCTGCAAGAACAAAACACAAAAGGAAATTAAAATCTGGTTTTGCTGCTATTCAGATTTTCCAAGTGATTTTTCTGAGGTGGGCAGGGATGAGGTGGGAGGGCAGAGCGGATAAATGGAAGGTGAGCAGGGAAGCCATTTATTTTTTTTTTAATTTTTTTTTTAACGTCTATTTTTGAGACAGAGAGAGACAGAGCATGAACGGGGAAGGGGCAGAGAGAGAGGGAGACACAGAATCAGAAGCAGGCTCCAGGCTCTGAGCCATCAGCCCAGAGCCCGACGCGGGGCTCGAACTCACAGACCGCGAGATCGTGACCTGAGCTGAAGTCGGACGCCCAACCCACTGAGCCACCCAGGCGCCCCGCAGGGAAGCCATTTAAATATGTCAAACCCAGGTGATCATTTTGGTGTATTATATGCTCCCAACCTTACTCTGCCCCTTCCCTGTTTGGGTTATGGGCCTTTTAGTCCCAATCCAGGCAAGAATGAGATGAGTGGGTAAAAGTGCATTATAGTTTCCGGTCAGCTGACGGTCATGGTTTCAGTGCCACTCAGGCATTGCCCCCGGGGCCTGGGCCTCCCCTGCCTTCAGGTTGGGGGTGATGGCATAGCTGAGCTCCAGGAAGGCTGAGCAGAGAGTGCATGGCAGCTTCCTGAGGGGAAGCCAGGGGCAGGTAGGTACCTGGGTATTCTGGAAGAACAGCTGATGTGGATCCAGAGTTCTGAATCTGCCTTGGACTATCTTCTCCCAGCCTTTCTCCCCAAATGTCAACTGTTAGCTGGTGACACTTGCTGTTGCGGGACGGGGGTGGGGGGCAAGCAGACATCAACTTTCCGCTCACATATTCCCGATTCTTTATTTTTTTCTCTCGGCTCTGACATCCCCCAAGCCCTCTTGAATGCTCCAAGCAACATTAAGTCTCCCACCTCTCTCTCCTTCCTAGCGGCCAGTGCCTACACCAGGGTCACCAGACCTGGGTTTAAACTGTCCGTTGTTCTCTGGTCTTCCCCTCTCCACTCCGCTCTGCCCCCCTCTTCTCAAGGCTGGGACTCTGGGTTCTCTAACCAGACAGCTCAAACCCAGGTAGGTGCCTGTGGGCTTTGTCGAGAGCTCAGCCCCTCCCCGCACCCCTCTCTTGAAGCGATGATGCCGGGTCGCCGGGGTTCCTGCACCGTGGAGCCGATTGCTGGGTAGGAAGGGAGGACTGATATGTCCATTGCCTTCCTGGTGGAAACCAGCCACCTCGATGGTACTGTGCACACAAGACAGCCATCAGGGTAGTTCGTGTTGGAGCAACTCCACCCTGCACGCGTATGAACCCCAAATCTGGTCCAGCAGTGGCCGGTAGGCAAAAAAATACACTGCGTGCTTCTCTGAGAAGCGGTGTAAGTGAAGTCGCCTTAGAATATATTCTGCGTGGATGCTTATATTTTGTGAACTTCATGACTGATACGACATGTCGTATGTCTCAAAAAAATAGGTGTGTTAGCTGCAAATAACATTACGAAGTGATGTTTCGTTTAAAACAAAAACAACCCACGTGATACCTGTTGAGTTTAAGTCTTATGTTTGGCTAGTACTTTCTAAAGTTATCTAGAACGGTGCTGCGCCATAGAACTTTCTGCAAGGGTGGGATTGTTCTATGTCTGTGCCGCGAGGTACAGCAGCCACTAACCAGATGTGGTTATTGAGCCCTTTAAATGTGGCCAGTGCAACCTAGGAACTAGATTTTTAATTTTATTTAAACTTAATTAAAGTTAAATACCCTCGGGGCGCCTGGGTGGCGCAGTCGGTTAAGCGTCCGACTTCAGCCAGGTCACGATCTCGCGGTCCGTGAGTTCGAGCCCCGCGTCGGGCTCTGGGCTGATGGCTCAGAGCCTGGAGCCTGTTTCCGATTCTGTGTCTCCCTCTCTCTCTGCCCCTCCCCCGTTCATGCTCTGTCTCTCTCTGTCCCAAAAATGAATAAACGTTGACAAAAAAAAAACATTAAAAAAAAAAAAGTTAAATACCCACATATAGCTAGAGTATGGCTGCTGTAGTAACAGTGCAGTTCTAGAAACGCCCGTGATGGCAGTTAAGGCTGAATTAAGCACCCCCCTGCCTTTTTTTTTTTTTCCTGCAGTGGTTAAGTGTATAGACTCTGTGGCCAACTGCTTAGGTTTGATTCCTAGCTCCCCACTTAGTAGCTGTGTGACATCGACAAGTTACTTAAACTCTCTGAGCCCCATCTGTGAAACAGGCACAGTAACAGTGTCCACCTGAAGATTCTTACGAGGATTGGATAAGCTCATAGTTACAAAGTCTGGCAACTATGTCCAGCATTCCATCAGGATGTTATATTATATTGAAGCAATGGGGAAGCCCTGAGCGCAGAAGCTTCTGTCCCCAAGGAGTTCGGGCCCATGAACCTCCCTTTACGGATGTTTGCCCACTTCCCCTGTATCCTTGGGATTTTATGGAGGCTACCTGCGTAGGCCTGAGCAATGAGTAACTCCGTTTCCAACCCCTCTCCAGGGGAGGGAGGGTAGAGCTGAGAATTCCCATCTTCCATTCAGGCTGACCAGCCCCCATCCAGGACCCCCGCCAGTGTTGCCTCATTAGCATAAAAGATGCTCCTGGGGCCCCTGGGTGGGCAGTCCATTAAGGGTCCGTCCTCGGCTCACGTCATGATCTCACAG